CTCTATTCCAGAAGATATAAGTGCCTGAGGTGAGAGGCCAATTTTCCCCAAGTAGCCCTGGACCAATTTGACCCACTTGGATTGATAGTTATCATTAAATATCAAAGAAAATAGGCCTTTTGGGTTTAACTGGGACACATATATATGTGGTTCCTAATCCAGGATCCTAATCCAGGCTTCTACTTTAAGGCATCCTGTTTATAGCCTTATCCTTACATTTGACACCCATCTTGGGACCTGGAGTATAGTTCTTAGAAATTTAGATTGAACTATATTTCTTGTGATGCAAAGTGAGAGCTGGATGGCCCCATGAATGAGCCATACAGCAGCTGAGCTAAAGCCTTTGCTTTATAGAGTTTGAGGGCTGCTGGTATAAAGGACCCTCCTTGGGAGAGATGGAATTTTACTATACTATTTGCTGATCTTTCTCCCTGATCTGCTGCAAATTTACTATGCTGAAGCGTAGCTCCCGAGGCTTGTAGTACTACCCCAAGACATTTGAAGCTGGCAACCTGCTCGAAACTGTGTCCATTTATTTGCCATGACTGAATCTTAGGTCTCTGTTCAAAGGCGACTATCTTGGTCTTCTGATAGTTAATAATTAGAGAAGAAACACTAAACAATCTCCTGAGTGATTCTCATCATAATTGCAGGTGTTCAGATGTATGTTCTTGTCTGTTGCTATTTTGATATTGTATATCATCTGTTGTTCTTTAAAACTTTAATTAGAACATATTAGCCTTCTTCTGGGGCACTTTCAGTTAGTCTTGCTAGTATTTTGTGTGCATGCAACTCCTTGCAATGAATTAGGGTTGTACTAATTTCTGAGTCCGTATTGTTTTTCAGATAATGCAGTGTGTCTTGCTTCACTATTCAGTATGGCATAGATTTTGCAAGAAAAAGGTCATGCTATACTTCATATTAGGTAGTGTTTACATATGGGGGGAAAATATAGTTCCAGCTTGCTTTGTTCTTGTCTATGGTGTCTGGTATGTAATATTTTAATGCCCCCTCCTTTCTCTTAAAATAAAGGTTAACTAACAATAAAAAGAGTATAATAAGTAGGTGAAAAAACATAAGGCAGATGAACTAAAACCTCAAACAAGTCTTAAAGCTTTCTTTTTTAAGACAACATCTTAATGGTAACCAAGATTTAATTGCAACCAAGCTGAACTGTTGAAAGCTGATGACAATTTAAAGAAAGACTTTGCTTTGTGTCAGGAGGACAAGAGGGAGAAAGCTAGTCTACCCTTTCTCAGGAAAGATTTCCACAGTTTAGGAGTAGCCACTGAGACTCCGCTCTCATGTCCTCAGCAAACGTTCCGTCAAGGGTTGTGTGTGTGTGTGTGTGTGTGTGTGTGTGAGAGAGAGAGAGAGAGAGAGAGAGAGAGAGAGAGAGAGAGAGAGAGAGAGAGAGAGAGAGAGAGAGAGAGAGAGAGAGAGAGAGAGAGAGAGAGAGAGAGAGAGAGAGGGAAGGAGGGAGAGAGAGAGGGAAGGAGGGAGACAGAGAGTGTGTGTGTGTGTAAAGCCCAGTCAGGATTTTATGGGACCGTGTGGTCCATCAGCTATATTCAAGTTGTGTCCCACTTTGTAAATCATAACCCACACCTTCATTGAATTCTACTGAGAAACAGATTGGTTGCCAGTACCATGTTATTTGTATGCTACTTTTAAATGGCCTAATCAGCTGTCCGGCTGCAGCATCCTGGTGGAGCTGAAGTTTTTCCCCAGGCCAGCTCACACAGAGTTGATCTGTTTTGTAACTTTCCACAACACGTTTTCTTCACCGAGGGCAGGAAAATAAAACAGTTGTGGCAAGCTGCGTAAAATTCCCCAATGGCCATGCAGTTTATAGAAACAAGGAAACAAGGAAGTTAAGTTTCCCCTAGCAGCAGCTTTTGTCCAGTTCACTAGACAAGACAGCACAAAGATGTCATCATTTTTTAGGAAATACACTTGGTTTTGTTTTAGAGGAAGGTACCTGAAAACCTTTCCAGAATCCACAGAAGACAGAAAATTCAATTCACTTTCCTACAAATTTCAAGAGACAATCTGAAGTACAACCCACCTCCTTTCACCTTTTGCCCTAAATAAGAGTGGAGTTGGGCATTTTTCAAGCTGTTTCAAGCCGGCTTCGAATGTAACCTACAGTCTAATGAAATATATTTTCTTGATAGCCCCAGCTCACATGCTACCTGATAGCAAATAAAGAGTGTGTCAGCTTCCCATGCTTTTGCCAGGCCATTTGCACTGCCACAAAGAAAAGATTTTTGTCTCTTTCTTGGGAGAAGTGAACTCTAATTATTTTGGATGGTTGGAACACACCAGTAATACTGGAGATGAACAGACTTTTTCATCTTTCTTTTCTTTTTTAAATAGAGTGGTCTGGTAGTCCAGATAGATGGGAAATAAATAAATAAATAAATATTAAATAAGCATGGATGGATTTTATAAATAAATAAATAAATAAATAAATAAATAAATAAATACATAAATAAATAAATAAATAAATAAATAAATAAATGCATACATACATACATACATACATACATACATACATACATACATACATACATACATACATACATACATACATACATAGGTGTTTCTCTTGCTTCAAGAATGGCTTTTGAGGTCCTGCAGCAACCTGGCAAATCATAATTACTGTTCAAATAGCAAATGTGTACAACCCCTTAAAAACAAATATAATGTAGGTGTTATGTCTTGAGATCAACTCCACTATTGTCCTCTCCAGGTTTTACTTGGAGCCAGGTGGTTGAGCTTGGCTCCCTAGGATAACAGCCTCAGAGGATAACTTTCCCTCCCCCAATTAGCAAGGATGCTGGGCAATTAGCCAATAGAGAAGGGAGTGTCGGAAACCCTCCAATGGTGGGCGGTGGTTTTATATATGTGTGTGTGTGGTTTTTTTTCATCCATTTTGAGTAAACCAAGTGGAATTACTATTGTGTATGCGGCTCTTTATTGGTCTAGAACCCATTACAGAATAGTAGGCTTCAATGGTCATGTGTATTTCTGATAATTCAGCTGAAGGATCAAATTTTGTGCAATAAGCAGTTCTATTGATAGGAGTGGAGCCACCACAGTAGCTTTTTCAGATCTGGAATCTATTTTTAATTCTACCCTTAATGAAACGTAGCACTGTGTTTTAATGTGTTGGAATGAATGCTTTTTATTGCCTCTCTTTTTTATTTC